GGGGAGCTTCAAATCTTCGAGGGCCTCCGTGACCTCATCGGCGGCCTCGGCAACTTCAAGAGCACAGTCTCTCGCCCAACCTGCCCAGCGAAGTGATATATCATCAACAAGCTGCCGCGGCGTTACCGTCGGGCACAGAGCTGACAGCCTTCTCACAGCACGATGCATGAGAACTTCCAAAACGGTGGTGGCGTGTGAACAGCCCGCAACAATTCCTTGGTACGAAGTGAACAAGGAAGACTCACTCCCATGCGCCCTGAGCGTCCTGGGTTGGCTGTAGCTTTGAATTAACACCCACGTTAATCTCGGCGAATATCCCACCGCTACAGCCTCACGAAGAAGGATGCGTGGCGACACCAACTCGAAGCACTTCCACAAATCAATCATGAGTGCCACCGTCTTGAGGCTCAGCGCCTCTGCGATCTCGTTGTCCAGGCTGAGGGAGAACGCTGACGCTGACGAGCTCCGACCTGGTCCTGTGCCCCATGAATGCGCGCTGCGCTGCGATGCTGTCCAAGCTGCCGAGATGGGCCTTCTCATTCTGCTCCATACTCTGGTAATCGAATTGAGCAAACCAATAAGGCGGGTCCCCCCATCGGGTTTGGGCAGACGAACAAGGAGCGTGACTAGCCTCTGAGGTGGCCATCCCAGCTTGTCCTCGCAAGCTGTGAACATGAGCGACAGAGCTAACACTGCTGGATCGGACAAGTGCATGAGCTGACGAGGGTGTAGGCCTGTCTGGTCGACAGCAGACTTCTCGGGGAAAGTCATGAACACCTTCCGCAGTTCATCAACAGTGGGTGGCTCCAGCAAGGGCCAACTCTGCGCATCGGGCGGCAGCTCAGGTTCACCTAGCCCATGATGCTTCCAGATCTTCGCCCACTGCTGGAGCTCCCGATCCGCAAGTTCGCACGGCTGCCCCGTGTCATGGGTAGGAGGCACTTCGACTGGGCTGCGCACCTTCGTGAATCGATGCGCTCGTCCAGCGCCGCCGTCGACACTGCTCCTGGCCCAGTCCTGGCATGCCTGGGTGCACTGCGCCTCTGCAATTGCCGTACGTGCACTGCGTTCATCAATGATGCGCTGCGCTTGCTTCTGGAAGTCGGGGTGACCATAGTGACGCAAGCCAGCTTGGAAGAATGCCTGTGCCTCAACGTCGAGCTGCCGAAGCAGGTGCTGCTGCTTCTGGAAACGCTGCTGGTAGACAGTCGTCTCATGCATGATTCGCCCGATGGTGCGGACGTGCTGCTGGAGCTTGGCTTCTGAGGGGTTGCCATTTACCTCAGCGATCTTGTTGGCGACGGCTGTCTGGACTGACATGAGGTGCTGGGCACACCTGGCCGCTACAGCCCACGCCGTCGTAGCGCGCCCATGCCGCGCACGTCGCCGAGCAGGAGCCCACGCCACAGCCTTGTCACGAAGCTCAGGTGCACCAGCTCTGCCCAGGTAATCTGTCCGTCTGATGCCGATCAGGTCGTGACGGTTGGCCAGCTCCGCTTCGATGCCGGCCAGCTGTATATCCCAGGCCTGGGTGAGGTCCTCTAGCGCGTTGGCACCTTCTAGACAGACAAAGAAAGGGTTCCAGTCGATGGGGAACCTCGCACATCCAGGCGCCGCAACTTTGGGGAATCCCCTTGGCTGCTTGAGCTCCCTCTTTTTGAGCTGGAGCCTATCCCTGGGCAGGTACAGCAGCACAGGCTGGTGCGGCCAGAGTGTCGCGTCACTCTGCACCACGACCTGGAACGGCACATCATCCACTAGCGAGCTGTGGATGATAAAGAAATCAATCGCGGTGCCTGGCGTGGCTTGCAAGCACGTGGGGTGATCAGGGGCACAGCACCTCCCCTGGATCATGTGTAGCCAGTCGTGCTCAAACAGCTCCGATGGTGACATATTGAAATCTCCTGCGATCAGCCAAGAGTAACCTGCAGCGGCCACTCGTCGCACGTATTTGCACGCTTCCCACAACAGGGCTAAGTTCCTCGGGGTACGACCTTCTCCAGTGTACAGGTAGATCGAGACCATGACGATGCCTCCACGCTGGCCAGCATGGACGAGGCCCGCTCCAATGCGGCCTGCGTAGATCACGCCGTGCTCTAGGAAGGGGGCCTGGGTGACCTGGATGCAAGAACGAGCGAGCACAGCGAGACCACCCTCCGATCCACCTTCAGCAGTTGGGGTCGCATCGATCCACTGGCCTTTCCAGCCGACGTCGAGGGCGTCGCCTTGCACCTCGTGCATCTTGGCCCCATGAGTGTGCACCTCTTGAGCTAGGACCACGTCAGCCGTACACGTGGCGAGGTATTTGGTGAGCGAGCCGTAGGAGTTGGCATTCACGGTGATCACCTGCAAACCACGACGATCTGCCTCCACCTTTGGCGCGTCTTGTTGATCTGCCAGGACTGCCGCACGTCGCTCGCCTCCTGCTCCTGGCACCTGGCTGTTCCTCGAGTCCAGCACCGCTGGCGACGACCTCCCCGTGGGTGGCGTTGGCGACGAAACTGGCTCCTCGTACATCTCGTGGTCGCACAGCTGCCTGTCGAGTTCCTCAAAGGGGTCGTCGTCGCCATCCATGTTGTGGAGCACACCACTAGCCTCGTCTGGGCGAGCGTCGCGGAGGGCATCGGCCACCCCACCACGGTGGGCCACGCACGTCCTCACAGGGAGGGCGATGGGGCGAGCGTCGCAGCACCTCTCCATGCCGCCTGCAGCGACTCCATGTGCGAGGGCATCGGCCACCCCACCGCAGTGGGCCTCGCTCGGGCTTACAGGGAGGGCGGTGGGGCGAGCACCGCAGCACCCCACCAGGCCGCCAAGCGCTCCTTCATGTGCGAGGGCATCGGCCACCCCACCGCGGTGGGCCTCGCTCGGGCTTACAGGGAGGGCGACGGGGCGAGCGTCGCTGCTCCTCACCATGCCGCCAGGGGGAAGAACATGTGCGAGGGCATCGGCCACCCCACCGCGGTGGGCCTCGCTCGGACTTACTGGGAGGGCGACGGGGCGAGCGTCGCAACGCCTCACCAGGCCGCCAAGTGCAGCATCATGTGCGAGGGTATCGGCCACCCCACCGCGGTGGGCCTCGCATGCAGCCAACCCTTTCCCCTGGGCATACGGGGGCGGCTCCAAGAGCCCAACTGACGCTTGTGAGATTGACAACTCACCATGGCAATCAAGATCGGCGTGGGCACCTGAGCAGGGGCGCTCACGACAAAACGTCAGGTCTGGCACAGCATGCACAGGGGGAGGTCGATGGCAGGATGAGTTCGGCACAAACTCTGCTGCCGTAACACTGAGCTGGCCCTCAGCTGGCTTAACTTCTGGAAAAGGCATCATCATGACGTCGACCAGATCACTGCGGCTTGAGGCGCTTCGCCTCCTGCCAAGAGGGCACGGTGTGCATGCGCTTGACAGCAGCGCGGAGCTCATCATCATCTTCAGAGCCACCTGCCAGCACCTCCATGCCGCACGCCTTGAAGTACTTCCGCAGCTCCTCGGCCGTAGCTGAGTTGGTCGCCTCGTCGTCTGGGGCCGCTGCTGCAGCTCGCTGCTGGGCTGCCTGAGCGGCGACAGCATCCTCTGCAGCCTTCCGAGCGTCACGCTCTTGTTGCTCCTGCACAGCTTGGAGGCGCTTTGCCTCCTGGATCTTGGCGTCATCCGCCTTGATCTCTTGCACCACTCCCTGCGCCTTCTCTTGAAGGCCAGTTGCCAGTCCCATCTGCCCCAGGACTTGGGCCATCTTCGTAAGACTTCACCGATCATCAGCGGCGCCACCAGCAACAGGAGGCCCAGTTGGGGGTGCCAGAGTGGCAGCGGCATCGCAGATCTTGGTTCGCTCCGCCTGGAGCTCGCTGAGGGTGGTACGCGAGGCTTGGATCTGCTTCTCTCGATCTTCGAGTTCTTGCTGGAGCTCGGCGATATTCTGCCTCTTCTCTTCCTGGGAGGACTGCCAGCGCTGCAACTGCGACTCAAGCGTGGCGATGCGCTGACCAATTTCCTTGGGCTTGGTACCGTCTGGTTTGGCCTGGGAAATAGTGCCACGGAGCGCCTCACGCTCATCCCTGTACCGTTGAAGGACCAGGTCGATCTCGGGCGTGGCAGGGTGGACCTTAGCGAACGATAGGATGATGCCATCACGTTCAGCAGCTCGCTTCTCGGAGTCCGTGACCACTTCGACTTCCATAGCGCCTGCGTCGACATCCTGGGCCAACGGCTGGGCACGTGCCTGCTTGAGCTCTGCTGTGAGCCCTGCCACACGCTTCTCCATTGCGAGTAGTTGATTGGCCATGGCCCCAGGCTGCTGGCTCTTGGTGCGGCTGGCCAAGCTTGTCGAAGGTTGCTTCGGCACGGGCTTGGACAGGAAGGCTGCACTCTTGGAGACTGAACAGCTATGACAGGCCAACTTATCAGGGTAATTGACGAATGGTTTGCCATCTCGTCCCGTACAGAAGCGGCAGCACCACTTGGAGCGCTGCTGGTCTCGACGAGCCGCAGGCGAGGGCACCATCTCACTTCTGTTACTGCAACACTCCGAGTGTGGGCGCCACTCTGTGCAGTAGCCCAAAAGAAGACGGTGACCAGGGCGGCCCTGAGAACAATAATTGTTCGAGAGTCTGGCTCCAAGCGCGACCCCTCGCGCTCGAAACGCCCTCTCGGACTCGCGGTCGTCGGGAGACGCATTGTTTTGAGCCAAAATGGCTAAGGATGTGTGTGTGTGTGTGTATGTGTATGTGTATGTGTATGTGTATGTGTATGTGTATGTGTATGTGTATGTGTATGTGTATGTGTATGTGTATGTGTATGTGTATGTGTATGTGTATGTGTGTGTGTGTGTGTCGCGCCCTGTCTCCCTAATTAGGGCTACCCGCGTCCCGTTTAGCTCTTGACCGGAAGGGGCCCGCTCCCGACCCGCCGACCCCCCAACAAAAAATGTTGTGTGTGTGTGTGTGTGGGTGTGTGTGTGTTTGCGTCCTCCCCTGAGCTCAGCGAGTCCGGGTGCGGGCCTGGGCCTTGAAGTGGGCAGAGGCGCAGCCGAGAGTGCCGAGGATGCTGCCTTCCATGCGCTGCCGCGGCTCGGCAGCGACCTCGATCGCCAGGGTCGCAGCCGCTGACGCCGCCACCGCCAACGTCGAGGTCGGAGGAAGGGTCACACATTCCCAGACACTACGATCCGGGTCGAAGACATGCAGGTCGATCTGGCTCGACGACACGCATCAAAAAGACAAGGTCTGGGGCTCCCAACACCACTGGCCCCAACACCATCAAAGGTCGATTCGGCTCGAAGACATGCATCAAAAAGACAAGGTCTGGGGCTCCCAACACCACTGGCCCCAACACCATCACAGGCAAATCTGGCTCGAAGACACGCAGCAGAAAGACAAGGTCTGGGGCTCCCGGGTTGAAGACATGCACCAGCAACCCAAGGTCGGGGGCTCTTGTCGCGACTGCTGGCGAAGTGATTTGCTCGCCACGTCGGGTCTCACAGGGGGGGGGGGGATGCACATTCCCAGGCATCCAACGTCCTTGGTAATGGGCAGTTGAAGTATCCCTACCCCGCTTGGGACGCCAAGAACAAGTCGTCGTCAGGACCCAAGTCAGGACCTGAGTCAGATGGGAGGACCTATAAGTCAAGACGGTCAAGAACAAATCGTCATCGTCGTCTTCGCCGTCACTGCCAAACATCGTCACCATCGGGAACCTCGTCTTCAAGTCCTTTCACCGCTTCGTCCTAATACTCCGCTTCATGAGATCACACCTGCGGCGGAGTGTCACCTGTACACCCTGTGGGCATTGCCCGAGCGGCCGCCGCAGAGAGAGTCCTGGGACAGACCAAGGAAGACCAAATGAAGGGACCCTGGGACACACAGATAAATAAACACGAATAACAGGATTCCCCATGTTCTCCCATATTTTCTGGGCTTTCGTCTCCTCACCCATCTCCCTTCCCATATTTCCTAATCTTTTCCTGAGAGTCGACGATTCATTGTGTCTGTGTGTGCTTTTCCCCTCCTGACCAAAGTCCTGCGATGTGTCACGTGTGGCGGCTTTGTGAGCTTGCTCCAACCCGTCGCCGCAAAGAACGAATACTTCGCCACTCGAGGTGTCACACGTTAGGGCCTCACGTCTCCCTCGTGCGAGGACCACAAACGCCGACACGGTGGCTGGACTTGCCGTGGTTTAAGACATAGCCATCATCTTTCGGAGGCGCCGCCAAGGGGGCCCCAACGCCGATCCACGAGATCCGCGCGGACCTCCAAACATTTATGGCTGCGCCGCTTTTGCTTCGATGAGCGCAAACCCCTGAAGCCGACGAGCGGCCCGCACAGCACCCCTCAGTAGCCACGCCAGGCTGCTCGCCGCAGCCTGTCCTGGGACTCCCAGACGGTGTGGTGGCGGACGGCAAGGTGACCTCGGAATGCAAAAAGAGACCTCGCCGCACGGTCCGTCATCGCAAGTTTCCTGGGACCTGGGAGGCCCTCGTCGCCCGAGACGTCCTCGGGGGACGACTCAATGTCCAGTGCCTAGACAGTGCGGTCCCCAATGACTCGCTGCAACGGCCATCCTCCGAATGTTCCCAGGCATCCGCCGATCTGAGTTCTACAATCCGCGGTCCCAGAAGTCCCGACCCCTTCCCCAGGGGTAGTTCCCCGATCCACCATATTGGATGGTCCCCTGGCCCGATATGACGGGCCCTGGAGGCCCAAATCCCCCCCCCCCCCAAAAAAAACGCTGGATTGAACACATCATATCCCAGACATGCGACGTCCTGATTTTTCAGCTCGGGATCCCTGGAAGTCCCGACCCCCAAAATCTTCTTTTGGCGGTCCCGGGGCCCGGCGAGGGCCCCCCGAGGCCGAGATGGGCCAAAACCGTCCGCCCTGATTTTTCAACGTCGCGAACATGTCTCGGGTCGGGCGAAAGGGGGGGATAGCAAAGGGGGGGTTTGAGAATCAGCTCACGTAGCTGATTTTCCTGGCGCTTCCCGGCGCCGGAGGTGGCCATGTATCGAGGAATGGGCCCTTCGGTGAGGCCGAAACCAGCTGCATGCAGCAAATTTCGTAACCCCCCCTTTCCCAATCCCCCCCTTTCGCCCAGCCCGAATGTCTGTGATCCTCCGATCTCTGCAGGGTATTTGGTCCCCCGGCCGTGACTCGGGACTCCGGCGGCCCTCCCCGGGACGACCCGCGGAGGCAGCCCCGCCGGGGGGGCCGAGGCAGGCAGGCGCGCCACCGGGAACGGGCGAAGCCGTCCGAGGACTGCAAACTTGGCCCCACCAGCTCACCACGAGACCCCAGAGATCCAACCTATTGGACAAATCGAGACGGAGGTTTTGCGCAATTTCGGCCCCTAGGGGCCCTCGCCGGGCCTCGGGACCGTGAAAAAACGACTCAGGATGAAAAACCGGTCCAGGGGAATGGATCGAGACTTCCGGAGACCGCGTATAAATCACGACATCGGATCTCTGGGACCGTTCTACTCTAGACTCTGGCAGGTTTCCTTGCCTGGAGGGGGAGGGGGGGGTGCTGGCGAGGCCTTCAAAGAAACCTGAGCTTCATGCAAGTCGAAATCTCACTTGCACGCTGGTTCGGCCCACAAGGCGGCGGATGGGGGGGGCGTCCCGTGCAAGTGAACTTGCCAGAATTCAATCAAAAACGCGTTCCACGCGGTGTGGTCCCCACACGTACAATCAAAATCTGTGGTAAGGACGCGCTGCAAGGACGCAAGACCCTTCGAAGATCCTTGGATGCCCCAGTGGAAGCTTTTCTGGCGGCGCACTGCCGAACAGACCCAAAGACGCAAGCGTGCCCTTGCGCAGGTTACCCGTCCTTCCTATGGATTTTCACTGCACTTGGGCGTGACTTCATGGAGGGGCAATCGATGGGGGGGGGGGGAAGGTGCACCTTTCAGGCCCGACGGCCTCCTCTGGGGAGCCCTGAAAGGGGCCCCCTTTCTCTTCAGCCCTCACTGCCCCCTCCACTCATCGCCCCCCCCCCCATGTGCGGCCGCCCACCACGCCGTGGGGGAGAGGCCTCCGACTCCCTGGCGGTGGCGCGCAGCAACCGCCCATGAGCGGCCCGCTGCGCTGGCCTGCGGTGCAGGTTGCCTCACGCGGCTCGCGCTCTGTGGCGGCGCGCACGAGGGGGGGTGGAGGGAGGGGGGGAGGGCTGCTTCGAAGGAGGGTGCTTCTCAGAAGGTGCCAGCCTCACATCTGCAGATGAGGCCCGCGCCTTCAAAGAAGCAGGGGTGCCTCTAAGAAGCCCTTCCCCCTCCCCCCACCCCCCCTCTGCGCGTGGCCGAGCTCTGCGCCCTCCCTCCCCTCCTCCCCTGCTCTCCGCTCGCCCTGCCGGTGCGCCGCGCGGATGCCTCGATCCCCTCGGTTCCCGCGGCAGCTCCCGGGGGGTGGCGGCGCGGCGGCCTCCTGCGCGCGGGTGTAGTTGAAGCTGCTCGGCATCCACCCGGAGGCCTTGGCGGTCTCCAGGGCACCTTCGGAAGGTGCCCAGGAGAAGGGGGAGAAGAGGCACTCTGGAGGATGAGCATGATGAGCATCACGATCAGGCAGAGGGAGAGGAGGAAGGGCAGGACGACGACGACGACGACAACGACGACGATGGTGATGGTGGTGATGGTGATGATGATGATGATGATGATGATGATGATGATGATGATGATGATGATGATGATGATGATGATGAAGATGATGATGGTGGTGGTGATGATGATGATTATTATGCTGATGCTCATGATGCTGATGACGGTGATGATGGTGATGGTGATGGTGGTGTGGGTCGTGATGGTGATCGTGATGGTGATGGTGATGGTGGTGGTGGTGGTGGTCGTGGTGATGATCATTGTGAACCCTGGAAACGGCAAGGCCGTTTTTTCACCGTTTCCGAGAACGCGTCTCTTGAACATGGAAACGGCAAAAAATCCGGCGACGGGAAACGGCAAAACATCGGGTTCAATATTGGAACCTGATTCGAAGCACAGGGACAAACAGTAGCTACACAACGCAATGATGGTGATATCATAAGGAACGATAAACACACAAACTGTTGAACCAGAACTTTCTTCAATGACAACCCGTTTGGATCCGAACCTCAACTGCTTCATCCGAAGATCGCCGCTTGTTCACCGACGGCTCGCCCGTCGCCTCCAGGGGTTGTGCAGCCTATACTTTCGCTTGGGCAGGGATGCGGGGTCGGGCGAAGGATGTCTCAGTTTCTAGGCCCTGTGAACTTCTCCTGGGCGGGGACAATGTCAACTTTTTTCGCGGCCTGTCAAGCTTGTTTCGCGGCCTGTTCTGGGGGGCCCGTAAAACCTTGCTCGGCTGATGCCTTGTGCGTTCTGGCCATGCAAATGTGTTGGGGGCCCTGCCACGAGGGCCCACAGGGCAACTTGGGAGTTGGGAGTTGGGAGTTGGGAGGAGGGAGGAGGAGGAGGAGGAGGAGGAGGAGGAGGAGGAGGAGGAGGAGGAGGAGGAGGAGGAGGATGCTCTGGGGAAAAAAAGCGGGGGAGGCCCCGCGATCGTCGCCCGCGTGTCGCCCGGCCCTTCCGCTCCAGGGAGCGCGAGCGGCAGACCACTGCGGAGGCCGAGCAGAAGGCCGGCCGCGCCGAGGGCAGACGGAGCGAAGCGGGGATGGGGAAGGGCGAAGGCATTTTTTTCGGATGCCCAATGTGTAATTTGTAGGTTTTCTCTGGTCCTGGCATTAGGCCATTCCAAGAGTTGAAGGAAGAGTGTGGGGAAGCGCGAGAGTTGGAGAAAAAAGTGGAGGTGGCAGAGGGAGATACAAAGCAACAGGAGTAAAGGACGAAAGAGGAATGTGATGACCAGGATGGGGAGCAAGAGGAGGGGAAGGAGGGAGGGGGTCAGAGAGGGGAGGTGGTAGATGCAGGCGTGGATGAGGAGAAAAAGATGGATGATGATGCGCGGGGAGAAAGACCCGGAGGGGAGAGGGAGGAGCATTGATCAGACCGGGTAGAAGGAGAGAGTCGGATGCGGATACCGAGGAGACGGACGAGACCGAGGAAAGAGAGAGGCAACTTAGGTGCGCTCGTTTGCGTCATATCTGACGTCCGACCCTCCCTCCCATCCTTGACTGTGGCGTAGACATGCCCTCTATTCGCACAGTCGGCTGTCGAGAAGGGCAATGATCGGGAGAGGGTACGCAATGCATGGTAGAACACGTCATGGCATGGCGTACAAGAGCACGGCAGAGCGTAGCATGTCATAGCAGGGCGTGGTATTGTGCACCACAAAGCATTGCAACGCTAGCATGGCATCTCACAGCGGCGCATAACACAACACCGCGCAGCATGTCATGGCATGGCGGCGGGATCCTTGGAAGGTAAGTGGATCGTCTTCGAGAGGTCTGGGCCAGTCTGGAGTCGTGGCCCCATCTCTAGCTCCTTAGGCTTCCCGAAGAGCTCCACACAAGACGGGGCAGATAGAGAGCACCCGCTGGCACTGCTGACAGCATCGCCATCTCAAAGCAGAAACGGGGCTCCCGCTTGATTAGTCCTGCGAACGACGGCGCCCCAAAGTTGGGGGGGCTTCTGCGGCCCACAAAATCAACGAATCGGCACCGAACGTGTAATCACAGTCCGATGTTTTTTTTCCTGATTTTCTATATGTGGGGGCCTATTCGGAAGGACCGGAAACGCCCGCGCTGCAGCGGGAGCACGATTTGGAACAACCAGAGGCGCAGAAATGGGGCCAGCGCATCAGCGGGAGCAACATTTTGAGAAAAACCCAACGAAAACCCAGTTCCAAAGAATCCTGTGTAAAATATCCCAGCGAAGGACCCAACCCTATGCAGTTGTGAATACTGGAGTTGTGATGACTTCCTTCGGTGGAGCTCCCTAGCCGCATGCGAACGCAGCCGCTGGGGCCTTCGGTGGGGCTCCCTATGGGGCCAGCGAAACGTGTGAGGGGTGTGCCGAAATGGGAGTGGAACAGCATGCGAATTCAGCCACTGGGCCCTTCGGTGGAGCTCCCTATGGGGCCACGAAATGTGTGAGAGGTGTGTCGAAACGGGAGTGGGATCGTATGCGAACGCAGCCGCTAGGGCCTTCGGTGGAGCTCCCTATGGGGCCCGCGAAACGTGTGAGGGGTGTGCCGAAATGAAAATGGAACCGCATGCGAACGCAGCGACTGGGGCCTTCGGTGGGGCTCCCTATGTGGTCCACGAAACGTGTGAGGGGTGTGCCGAAATGGCGGGTGGAACCGCATGCGAACGCAGCCACTGGGGCCTTCGGTGGAGCTCTCTATGGGGCCCGCGAAACGTGTGAGAGGTGTGCCGAAGCGGGAGTGGAATCGTATGCGAACGCAGCCGCTAGAGCCTTCGGTGGAGCTTCCTATGGGGCCCGCGAAACGTATGAGAGGTGTGCCGAAATGAATGTGGAACCGCATGCGAACGCAGCCACTGGAGCCTTCGGTGGAGCTCCCCATGGGGCCACGAACTGTGAATGTTGTGCCGAAGTGAAGGTTTAACCGCATGCGAACGCAGCCACTGGGGCCGTCCGTTCGAGGGGTGTGCCGAAATGGCGGTGGAACAGCATGCGAACGCAGCCACTGCGGCCTTCGGTGGGGGGCCGAACATATTCCGGACGTCATCAGGGGAGAGAGGAGAGTAGTATTCGCATTGTATACAAAAGCGCCCTAGAGCCCAGAGCGGACGGGCAGGGCGCTCGCTGACATGGGACATTTGTCGACCCCTCTCCCGGGCTTTTGGGAGGCATCCAAGCGGACCAGGATTCTGGGGCCACACCCTGGGATACACGGTGGGGAGGCGTCCGTCCTCGATAGGGGCGCGTCCGAAATGGCCCCCTGGGGGTGCATCCCAGGGTGTCCCTCCTTTGCTGAGCGGTTTCATCTTCACTTTTCGTCGAAGGGTCGGGGGGTTGGGGGGGGGAAACGTCGCCTGCGATAACCTGCACCTCGCGGGGGCGGCGGGGCTTTTGTACTCTCCCGGCCGTGCTGGCGCGCTCCCCCCCCCTCCCCGAGAGCCGCGCCCCGGGGTGCAGGGCCCTGGCTGCGCACCGAAAAGATCCACCGGGGGGGGGGGGAGACCTCTCGGGTGTGGCCGAACCGACGCCGAGCAAACCATCCCCTTCCGTGACGTCGTCCTCGCCTTTCGAGCTCCCCTCCGGCCGCAGGGGCGGGGTGAGGAGGACGTCACGGAAGGGATGGTTAGCCAGGGGTCGGTAAGACCGCCCCTGAACCTCCGAGCGAAGTCCGGGGATGATCCGACGAGAATTGGGGCGGGTTAGGAGGCAACCGCCGTGAGGCCCTCGTGAAAACGATTCAGAGTCATGGAGCCCGATCAATCAAGGAGCCATTGAAGTAAACCAGCCCTTCTTAAAACCGGGATTCAGCCGCAGTGCGCCAGATTGAGCGGGATGATCAAGAATTGGGCTGGATTAGACCAGTTCTCGACCACGGATCTGCCAGCGCCGATGCTAAATTCAATCGCCCAGGGGTTACACCTGAAGGGGGGAGGGAACTCCGCGCGAGGGAACCCCCTGGAAGCTCTCTCCCTCCCCGCGCCCGCCTTGATTGTGTTCCTCTCCCTCTCCGCCCCCTCTCCCTCTCCCTCGTGTCTCGTCTAATTACTTCCTCCTGGCTCGCCGCGACGAGAAACAGGACCTCGCTGACTCTCGATTCCCTTGCAAGCGGCAACACGACTGACTTCTGCTGAGACCAGTCGCAGGACTGCCTGATCGCTGCTGCTGCTCTCCTCTGCGTGCTGCCCCCCGCATCTCTCTCTGCCCAGCCGCAGCCCCTGCAGCAAAACAGACACGGTCACCGTCCGTGCCGATCCGGCGTGCCGTGCCGTACCGACAGGGAGCCCCTGCACCTCCGAGAAGGATAATCGTCCTCAGTCCGCTGGCCCTGGGTTTAGGTCGGGCATGTCCCCCTACAGGCGGATTTTGGAGGACGCATGAAAAATAACAACCAAAAAGACAAACAGGATCAAGAATAATGGAAAATCGCCCCCCAGAGTTCTACTATGTTTGAATGTCTCTCCTGTAGAGGGACACGCCCGTCTCAGCCCCAGGTGGCCTCGCCCCCTCCCCCCGGGGGCCGTCCTCTTGCGGCCCCCGGGCTCCGCTGTGAGAGGGCTCCCCGGCGAGGCCCGGAGGCCCTGAGCGGGGTGACCCAATGGGGGCGAAGCTCGTGCGAGGCCCCCGCCCTGCGGTCTTCAGAGCGTTGCTCGGGGGCGAGCGAGGGGGGGAAAGATATGAAGGAGGAGGCCTTCTCAGAAGGCGGCGGGGCTCCTCAGAACCCCTCGCGCCTTCTGCGAGGTGTCCTGCGTCTCCGGCGAAGGCCCATAAAAAAAACTCCTCGGAAGGCCGAGGGGGGCTTCCGAGCCCTCTTCTGAGAAGGCGCCCCTTCTCACTTCCGCCCCGGGAGCGCCGCCTACATCAGCTGTTCTTAAGAGCGTTGGGGGCGTTTCTTTCCCCGTGTTCTAGTTTCGCTCTTGACTTGACCACAACGTTGGAAACAAACGACATTCTGAAATGTGGACGTAAGGCAGGCGGCGCGGTGTAACCTAGAATCGTGTTGAAAACGAACTGAGGTATGAAGAAGACGAGCACGTGGGCGACGGGCCACCAATCCCGGACCTGAAGTCGTAACAGAAACGGCGCCAGAGAACGCCGACCTTGAACACTGGGGAAAAAAACCTCCGAGCGTTTTGAGGACCATCGATATCTACGGAAGTGTATACCTGTACTGGGTTTCGGGTCTTTCGAAATGGGGCAGCGAGAAGACATACAAAAGCTCATCGTGTGCCTCGTGGCTCATCCTGCTGCGTGGCCTCTCTCACCGACCAGCGATGCCAGATGCATCGCATTCTGCCCGCATCTAGCACGATCCAGCACGAACAATTGTACGAACTACTGCGTACAGTGGAGGCCAGTCCACAAGAAACCTTCCACAAGAAACCCAACCCTGAGACCCCAGTGCGTCCATGGATTTTTCGTGTGGGAACGCCACGCTCTTCATCGCAAAAAACCATCGAAACCCAAGAAACCCGGGGCACCCCAGAGGCGAGCAGGGTGTTCCTTGGCATGGGTCTCCACTGCACACTTTCGCGAACCCTGTTGCAGAGGACCCACTTGCCCCAATCTCATACGGTGCTGGCGCGGCCGCAGGAAACCCTCGCAAGAGACCCAGCCCTGAGAACCCGCGCGCGAGGTACACCCGAGGGAAACCCGGAGCACCCTGAACGCAGCAGCTCCTTCAACGGCTGCGGGAAGTCACTCGGGTCGGGCGAAAGGGGGGAATAGCAAAGGGGGGGTTTGAGAATCAGCTCACGTAGCTGATTTTCACGGCGCCTCCCAGCGCAGGAGGCGGCTATGTATCGAGGAATGGGCCCCTCGGTGAGGCCGAAACCAGCTGCATGCAGCAAATTTCGTACCCCCCCCTTTCCCGATCCCTCCCGTTCGCCCGGCCCGAGTCACCTGCGCGGCGCGAGGGGCGAAGAAACCCACGATTCCCGGACGAGAAGCACCTGGCTTCCTGGTGCGCGCTCCCACTGTATAGCCCGCCTCCTCCGCCGAGGCTGCGGGGCGGCGCTCCCGCGGGCGAGGGGCCGCGGCCTGGGTTCCGCATGTCCACGCCGAAGACGCGCGTGGCGCGGAGGCGCTGCGCCGACAGCGCCGCGAAGCAGCGCTCCCAGCGCTCCTCGTCCTGGGCGCCGGGTGGGCGAGGCGTCGTACCCCTCCCTC